GCCTTGGATGTCAGACCTGCCGCCTAGGGTTCTCGGCTGCCGTGACACCTTTATACCATTGAGCTTTTTATGTTTGACGTAGGTGCAGCTGTGCTGCATTAGCTCAATCTGAGCATTTTCTTACAGAATGCTTTCTTTGCTATTACCTTTTCATTTGCCATTTAACTTCTGCCTTTTATAACTTGCTAATGTGTTAATGATTTAGTTCTGTTAATAACTATACATTAATTTTGAATCAATAAAATATTTTTGGAATGTGATAAATATAAGATTCGATTCAATTTTTTGAGTAGTGAGATTAAAATTAAATTAAAATATAATAAAAACGAATATAGAATAAAAATAAAATTACATTTAATGATAATACACCTAGTTTATATTTTTGTATTATATTGATAACAATGCTATGACTTTTAAATTTTTTTCAAAATGGTTTTAGATTAATTTTTTCCTTTCAGCAATATTGGGAGTTGAACTCAGAGCCTCATACATGCTAGGCAGGTGCTCTACCACAGAGCTACACTGCCAGTGTACTTGGCTTTCTGAAGATCAGATTATTTGGTCCCTCCTTTGGGAGGCCACTGTGGTGCCGACACAGGTTGCTGCGCAGCTGCAAGGCTCGAGGGAGGGATGTGAACACCTTTATTTGGGGATGCCGGTGGCCTTTTAATCTCGTTTGAATAGTGAAGGCAAAAAAATTATCAATTCGAAAAGTAGACTTTCAATTTGTGGTAGAACAGGAAGGAAAAGGGCACAGCAAGAGTCTCTGCCCCCAACCCCCGGTTTATGAATGTAGTTTTGAAAATCAGACGTCCAAAGCACACATGTATATTTGCAGAATTTGTTAGCTAGACAAAATTTATTTACAGGGAATTATTTTAGAAAGTATTTCTGACCTAAAACATGATGAAGCTACTCTCCAGGCTTTCTCCTTTCCACAGCCCGTGCAGTAGCTGCAAGCATTTAGCAGGGACTGTGCCAGCAAGCTGCAGTGAACAAGGCTTTCCAAGACCTGCGGCTCCAGCCCCAGGAGCTTTGCTCCCCTGTAGACGTCAGGACTGCGCAGCTGCTCTGCTCCTCCATTTCCTTTGCTGCAGAGTTTTCCCTTCCTTTCCCTTCCCTTCCCTTCCCTTCCCTTCCCTTCCCTTCCCTTCCCTTCCCTTCCCTTCCC